CATATAACTTACTGAACTTGTAGTCTCTCTTCACCCTTTGGAAATCTACCTCGAGGTTCTGCTCAAATCCACATTTTCCGAGGAATCTCTCATGATGTTTTCAGCTCTCCTCTGAATTTGCATAGACTTTTATCTGTATTGCTCTTCTGATACCAGTTTATTCAAACATTTACTCAGTCACTCAACAAATGATTATTTAGCTCACTTTGGCATTTGATAATACTTTCGTGGTAACAATTTCGAGGACATCTTGAGGAAGTTCCTAGTTTCTACTTTGCATTTTGGTTTGTATGACCAGGTATTATTTCCTGATCTAGCCTGTAAACTAGCTGGAGACAAGGACATATGAGTCATCTCTGTGATTCCTGTAATACATAAGCCCACTACTTGACATAACAGGCACTCAATATATATTGTTGAATAAATGTACTCTATGGCTAATGAACAAATGAATGAATGAAACCTAATATAAAGTTATGATTTAATACAGTATGATAAAGTTGATACAGTATGGCAACTCCCACCTTTTGTAAACAGGGGATAATAATTGTAGGGTTTTATTATTAAAGAGTAGGAAGAAAATATGCATCTTGGGTGTTCCATCAGTGATAGCTGTTACAGTCATGGCCACTGTACACAAAGAAAGGAACAATATTGGACTACAGTTGGTACTTTTGTTATTGTAGCAAACAAAAGGAATTTAAAAACAGAGAGAGGGGGAGGAAAATGATAAAGGTAGATAACAAAAAGGGGCTCAAAACAATGTGGAGAAACATTCAAAGAAACAGAAAGGGAAATAGAATAATGACAATAATCTACCCAAATCCTAAATAGGATTTGTATCACAAGATACCTTTCCTGCTCCAATAACCAATGCAAAGGCACTTGTCCTGCACAACCATGTCTAGAATTACAAAATTTTGACAGAGCCATACAAGATGCAGGTTCTGAGAATCCACCTCTTTGCTGAGAAAAACATTCCTTTTGTTTTTAGAACAAAGGTCATAATCAATAAGAAGTGGCACACAAACCCTAATAAGGAAATCACAGACAATATAGAAAAAGCACATCTGGTAGAGTTTACCTGGGTTGGAAGTAGGTTAGAAGAGCAAGAGCAAATTCTCAAACTTTTAAAGGATGGAATTTAAGCAGCCAGAAATGTCACCACATATATAACAAACCATATATTAATAAATTTAATACTTTTAAATTGAAATCATGGACAGTCACTGTAAAAAGGGAAATTAATTTTGTCAAAAACTTGTAGACATAGGTAAAAACATCTTTTATTTTCCAATTTAATTTTATCCTATAAATATGTTAATGTGGGGTCTGGGAAACTGAAATGCTGTAATGATTAGTGTGAGCTTACCTGAGGGCTAGGAACCTATGGCCCTACACACATATAAGTGTGATAAAATTGTTTGTGACAATTGACTTTCTTTTTTTCAGTAAGTGCCTCCACTGACAGAAATATGAATGATCTGAATAAGCAACAGGTCTTGCTTGAGTAAAACCCCTACCCCAATTAACCTGCATAATTTTTTACAATTTGAAATCTATTACTTTGCATTTTAAAGGCTTTTTAGCTTAAAAGTCCCTCAATGAAAGACAAATCTCTCTTGACAGAGAAATCCTTACTATCAAATAATACCCTAGATGAAGTACAGTACCAATTAGCTAATAACAAACCCTCGGAGAATAGAATCGGCACTTGAAGTCAAGAAAAAAAAGGTGAGCAGGAGGCTCAAGCTGCAAGGGGTAAAAAGGAGAATGAATAGAAGGAAAAGACTTAAAAGGGTCCTGGTTATTTTACAATTCCTCTGGTCAGGCTTTGGGACCTACATTCATTTGTAACCATTGTCTTGCACAGAGTTAGGCATGATCAGTGTTTAAAGCACCGATTCTACTTTGGCCTGAGGGAGAGGGAGAGGGAGAGGCTACTCAGGTGGGGAGCCTGAGTAGCTCAGTGAGTTGAGTGACAGCCTCTTCTTGATTTTGGCTTAGATCAGGGTTGTGGGAGACCCACAGGAGCCAGCTTTAAGGCCTGCCTTGAGCCCTGAGCCCTGCTCAGCATGGAGCCTACTTGGGATTGTCTCTCTCTCTCTCCCTCTACCCCTCTCCCTTGCTCATTCTCATTCTCTCTTTCTCTCTCTCTCCCAAATAAAATAAATAAATAAATAAATAAATAAATAAGATTTTTTTTAAAGATCCTAAATGTTGTTAGCCTGGGTCAGTGGAGTAGAGAAGGCTGACAGGACAAAGCAGGGAAAAGAGCAAGACAATGGAAACCATTTGTTTCTCTGAAGCTTCCTCAGGCTTCCTCAGACAGGATTGAATCCTTGGGACTCTTTTTTCCCAGAGTCCCCCACCTACAAAAATGGAACTGGAAAGAGGCTATGAAACAGAACCAAATTCTTTGAGCACCAGGACATTAAATGCCAGTTTCTGGAGCTTTCTTTGAATTTGAGTTTATAATTAGCAGATGTCTATATCCAAGAGATGTTGCTCTGTGTTCAACTTCCATAATAGAAAAGTAAAATCAAGCATTTGAAGGATGTCCTATCATTATGTTGAAAAACAAAAACTCATCAGGACTCTGGAAGCTACTACAGTGAGGTTGCTGGTGTGGTGGGAAGGGTGGGTTTTGGAATCAGGCTGACCTTTGTTAGGATCCTGGTTCTTTTCGAAACTTTGCAAACATTTCTTAATTTCTTTAACCTCAATTCCTTCATTAATATATGAAAAAGATAATCTATTCTGTAGAGATGAAAGGATAGAGATAATGCATGGAAATCACTTAGTATATAATTATACCTGGCTATACTACATTTGGCAACTTTGAGCTGTGATTATTATTAGCTCAATTCCAGGATACGGCCTTGACCAGAACATGAGGTATTAAATACTGATACAACTTCACTCTGTTCACGTTTGGCTGCACCTTGATTCTAAGACTTCCAAGTAAAAAATAAGAAAGCAGTAAACTCAAATCAGGATGCTTAGGAGACCCTAACAGCTACAACTGAGAAAAGCTGTGAGTGTAGGATTGGTCTTCTAGAGCCTATTCGAATATAGAGAAGACCCGTTTGTTCTTCATCATCATGAACATCCTCATACAACAATCTAACGAACGCTTGACTGTGGCTGTTTTAGCACATCATATGCTGAGGTACTTAACCATCCTTTACGTCTACACATCTCTAGTACATGCTGCCCTTTTGGTATATTTGCGTTTAAGAGCAGAATCACCTAAAATGGATAACGCGCGGCTCTACCAAATGAGCTTAGTCACTGTGACCAGTAATCTGAGCTAAATTGTTTTTCCAACTGTAATACAGGAAAGCATCAGGACAAAATGTTTACATATCTAAAAATAGTTATAACACATACAGTTACATTTTCCTGCAAGTTTTTATCTGGAACTTTGCCTCACAAAAGCTGAGGCGTTATTACCACTTACGCACATTTCTTTTTAGCCTTTTCTAGGAATGAATACTTAAAACTTAACTCAGCTGATAGAAATACACAAAAACGTGATTATGAGTTCCATGTACAGATGAGATTATTAAGAAGTTAAGATCCAATATTGATGTAAGAGGTTAGCAAATGATCAGGGTCCCATCTGGAAAACAGAAACATGGAACATAGTCTACCTCTGTCCTTTCCTTATGCATGTAAACAATTTATTCTGTCAGGTAAATATGGCAAAAGATGGGATAGCAAGATCAAAGATTTGTTCACTACTCAAATATATATTTCTGACATTGTAGTTCATACTGAATTTAGATAGTAAGTAGTCCTACTAATTGGCCCCATTTGCTGGACTTTAATGTCAAGATTCACAGCATAAAGGAGTACATAAACCACAATGTGTCACTAGCAAATGAAGAAAAAATAACATTCATACATAAATAAAAGAATATGGATATGAAAGGAAACCAGGATGTCTTTACAATGAGGTATTTCCTATGGGTTTTTCACAGTCCTATTTCATTAGCTGTTTTTCCATTGAGAATGTAAATAAAAGTTATACAGTTTGGTGATTGCTGGATTGCCATATTACATTCTCATAAAGTATATGAAGTCATATATTATTACTGACAAAAATATTTACAATTTATAAGACAAAAATGTTGGTGAACCAAACTAATATAGAACCCATTCTACATTCTCCCATTCTTTTCCTGGATTACAAATATGATACGATTTACATCACATATTAGATGACATTTTGTAGCACCGAAGCTCCCACTGCCATATCTGAATTAATTCTAATTTTTAAACCCAAGTAACCTGAATACCTCTGATTTTCCAGAACTGCTAAGGGACCATCTAGGTAGATCTTGTCAGGCTTTCTAGAATTGACTCAAATAGGGATATATAAATCTTCTTGGTGGATCCTGAAAAGATTAGACATCCACATGGCATGTAATGAAAAAGGAGACAAATGATGTAAAGTACTTGTCAGAAACCCTGACACATTATAAGTTTCAATAATTGGTAGCTCTTGCTGCCTCTGTTGCTAGACAAAATGACTAAAAAGCTGTCCAGCTTGAGCTTCATCTTATCCTGTTCTGCCTTTGAATAGCTGTATTAAGTAACTTTTTTTAAAGTAACGTCCACACCCAATGCAGAGCTTGAACACATGACCCCAGGATCAAGCATTTCATGTTCTACTGACTGAGCCAGCCAGGTACCCCTGTAACTCTTGAGACATTTTCTACATTCTGTCCTCATTTCAGTATAGGACATACAATTCTATTTATATCCTGTCTTTTAAAAAATAAATGGCTATTTTGAAGACTTAAAATACTATATAAATCTCTGAAATTATCATCATTATTATAAATGATAATTCCACTTAGAAAACAACTCCCTTTATAACGTGCCCCAAGTTTGAGTCACATGCTTCAACTGTCCTTATCAATCCCTATCCTGTGGAATTGATGACATACTTGTAAAGCTGAATCTATTCTCATGATTCATAAAGATGTCTTTAGGTTAAATGGTAAAATATTATGTATGTGTAGAAAATATTTCAGTAGAGGAACTAGCAACAGTATACTGAAGTAAAGGGAAGGTTGAAGGCAGGCAAATATATAATCCTGGTGTCTTTCTGAGAAGAAGGCCAATGTTTACTGAAAGGGATGTGTTGTTGAAAAAAGACTTTAAAATTTAAATAATCCACCCTAGTATTTACATTAGAAATTGATCACAAGTACAAATCCCTTGAACAAATGGTCTTTATAACATCAGAGAATAAGCCTTATTCTTCTCCCTCCACTGGCTATAAAATGTATTTTATGGGACCTGTTCTTCTCCTAATACTAAGTGGAATTTCATGTTGCACTACTTTCTGTTGACTTTCAAAAGAAAAATAAAAGCCCTCTGGTCACATTAGTCTCACAAAAATGACTTTGAACTTCATTTAAACTGAAGCTTCTTTCCTCCCACTACAACATATCCAAATCTTCCAGGTGGGAAAAAGGGTTCAGGTGGTTTGTTTATGCTCTACTCTAGCTTCTCCTGGCCTCTCTCCCTAGCCCCACTCCAGCTCTTCCCACAGAGTGAAGCAAGGCTGCTTCTGTGTCCTCCGGAGTTGAAACTTGGTGTGGGAAGTTAAGGAGGCAGGTAATGTCATTTTTTCTTTCTCTGGCCTAGAGAGCAATTTAAAACAGACTCTCCCGGCCATTTCTGTGGGTCTTTGGAGATGGTACCCTTCATTTGTGATCTCTAATGTGCAGTATCTTCGGTGGGGTAAATGCACTTCCTCTGACTAGTCACACACAAGTTCTTCTTCAAATTTTTACCTGTAGGACACACTTTTAGCCACTCTACTCAGTTCTCATCATTGCTTCATATAATCCAATTAGCCAGACTTGACAGACCCAAACCAGTTGACCCACCCTTGACTGGGATGTTGCTCCTTTTCAAATGTAGTCCTTGCTTCCTTTCACCTCCTGGCAAGAGGATCCACCTCTGCTCTTTGCCTTCTAGACTTTTTAGCAGGAATCAGACCAGTCTCTGAATCCTCCAAACTGTAGAGGACAAATATAAAGCACTCTGAGCAAACCTCTAAAATCATGCTCACTAAGCTTGAGGTTGGGCAAAACAATGTCTTTGCCCTGAAATTGAAAAGGATGGTAGGCACCTTCCATAGGAGATGCTAAAATCTTCTGTAGCATTAATGTGATTCAAAGAGTAAGTCATGAGCAAAAAAGCAGGCAAACAAGTCTCTGGCACAGACCGAGTCCATGACTAGATCCAGTAAAATTGAAAGTGTAATATATGATAAATACTTCAGGAACGCCTGGGTGGCTCAGTCGGTTAGGTGTCCGACTTCAGCTCAGGTCATGATCTCACGGTTCATGGGTTCGAGCCCAGCATCAGGCTCTGTGCTGACAGCTCAGAGCCTGGAGCCTGTTTCAGATTCTGTGTCTTCCTCTCTCTCTGCCCCTACCCCACTTGTGCTCTGTCTCCCTCTGTCTCAAAAATAAATAAACATTTAAAAAAAGATAAATACTTCAATAATAGTTCATCAGGAAAAAATATATCTTGTGTAATAAATGATATTGATATAATTAGATCTCCTTCTGGAAAGAAAATAGACTCTTAGCCCTCCCTAATGTCATGTTCAAAAATGAAAAGAGCGGGGCGCCTGGGTGGCGCAGTCGGTTAAGCGTCCGCCTTCAGCCAGGTCACGATCTCGCAGTCTGTGAGTTCGAGCCCCGCATCGGGCTCTGGGCTGATGGCTCAGAGCCTGGAGCCTGTTTCCGATTCTGTGTCTCCCTCTCTCTCTGCCCCTCCCCCGTTCATGCTCTGTCTCTCTCTGTCCCAAAAATAAATAAACGTTGAAAAAAAAAAAATGAAAAGAGCAATAGATTGAAGATTTAATGTAAAAAATGAGAATATTTTTTAAAAGTAGGAGTGTTAGGATCAGGAAAAAACTCTTCCAAAAAGAAAAAGAAAACCCAAGGAACAATAATGGAAAAAATTTAGAGTTGACTTCATAATGATGCAAATTACACACAGGCCAAAAAGTACCATAAGTAAGGTAAAAAAAAAAAAAAAAGAAGAAGAAGAAGAAATAAAGAAAGAGAGATAGAGGAAAGATTTGAAATATATACAAGAGGCAGAGGTTTATATCTCTAATGTGAAAAAAGAACTCTTACAAATTGACAAGAAAAGAGACAAACATGGGTATGAGCTGGGGTTCATAAAAGAGGAAATGCAATGGCCCAAAAAATTTATAAAAAACTTTTTGTAAAAGAATGTCAAATCTCACTACTAGCTAAGGAAATGCAATTTAGCACAACACAATATCCTCATTTATTAGTATAATAAATTTAAAAATTTATGGAAATTTATAATATTTAATCAAATTAGGTATAAAAATGGTAAGTTGTGAATTGCAGTGTGCAATGTTTCTGTAATTTCCCTTTTGGAAATCTTTCTCTAGAAATGGAAATGTTTCTAAGGAGATACAGGCCAAGAATGATTTAGATGTATGTGTGGGCCTAGAGGAATGTTCATGGTACACAGTTGAATGAATACAGCAACAAGGTAAGTCACATATATAATGATGATTCTATTCATGTGAATAAAAGTAGGGAGAACATTTGTATATAAATATGTATAATTATATATGATATATGTATATTTTATGTGAATATAGAAAGAAATGTAAAAAGATAAGTACCAAATTGACTTTTTCTTTTTATACTATTTGTGTTATTTGGCTTTATTAAAAATATAACTCTCACTTTCGAATTTTTAAAGAAAACACCCGTGTGTGTGTGTGTGTGTGTGTGTGTGTTGTATGTGTATAATATAGACAGCTAATGCTCTAGGATTTCATGGGATAGAGACAGGGATATGGAGAACATGGAGCTTGATCAGAACTAGAAGGATGGGTTTGGAGGAACCAGATAAACAAAAAGAAGTTTTTCAGACCATGGGCAAAACAAGAGGAAAGCAGTATTATCCAGAATCATTTAGATTCACTTCAAATGCTCCAAATCACTTATAACTGCATATTTAGAAAAAATCCAAGTATATATCCATATGTTTGTGTGTGAACAAGCAATATTATTATAATTACATGATCCTGATTTACACAGAATTCTTGTCACTACCAGGAAATTATAGACAAGATAATTAGAAAACCCAAAGAGTCTTATATTTCCGAGTATTAAATTGGCCTTGTATTTTTTTCTAAGCAAAAATAACTGAAATGCAACTCACAACAACCCAAGTCAATGAACTCCCTTTACCTTAGCATTCACCATCATCTCCATTCACTGCTGCTTCTACACTTGTGTAAGATCATCAGAGTTTTTTAAAAGTACACATTGAGTAACCAATATGTGTAACGCTCTGCACACATGTAAGCTGGAACTTCCTGCCCTGCAGAGAATCAGAGTTATAAATAAAGGGATCTTTGTTTATATAACTTTTAATCCTTTGATAAAGTTTCTTTGCTCCGAGGGTTACGTAAAATAGGTTAAAGAAAAGATTAATCACTTGGAAACAGAGGCTCCTCCCTGGCTGTTTTTTCTTAAGTTAACTCTTATGTGGTTGTGGTTCTGACTATAACATTGTATTAAAAGAGTAAAGAAAAACTCAGTGAGTACATAATAAGTTAAGTAATAACTACTTAACTTCCTTAGACTTCAGTATTTTTCTTTGTATATTAACAAATCTTTTGTAAATCAAAGAATTGCTTACTGATTTACTCATGTATTGAACAAACTTAATATGTTGAGCATTAGTTCAATTCTGGGTAACTGGATAATCTAAGAAAAGATGATACCAAAATAGGAATAAACTTGGAGGCAATAAACTTGGAGCAATGCTGTGGACAGGACCATTCATTTCTATCAAACATTGATTTTCTCCCGTCAGCCACCAACATTTCCAAACAGTAGGCCGATGGGAGAAAACCAATGATTACAAGTTATTCCATTGGTAACTTGCCAGCCAGATCGAGTGAGTGAAAGATTAGCTATGTCATGTGCTGAGGTGGTCAGATCCAGGTAAAATTCAGGATGAAGTGGAAAGGAAGGTTTGGATTAACATAGAACAAATGCTATGTAATGTTTACAAGCACCAGCTAAACCAGCTCCAGCACTGATGAGTTGTGTTCTTGGACAAGATCATTAGCTTCATTTTTTTAACCTATGCTAAGGGATAATTATAGCATCTACCTCAAATAATTGATGTGATTATTGTTCTTTCATTCAACAAATATTTGCTAAGTGCCTACTCTATGCAAAATACTATCCTAGGTGGTAAGAAGTCATAGGCATTGTTTGTTCTGACTGAAGGAAGGAAGATATAAACAAGTCAACATAATAAGATTCAGAGAGAATATTTTCCCCTCACTAGGCCTGTTTAATAAATATATTTTAAAAACCATAAAGCTGGGAGAGAGGCTGGATCAAGATTGGATTTATCAATGCTTTCAGAATCCAGGATGTCTTTCTGAGGCCAATCTACAAGCTCTGTCTACACCTTCATTGCCTATGTACTTATAAGTTTGAATCTGTTTGGAAACAAAAGTAGGTTTTATTCTGCCAGCCATTCAGACTTGTTTTAAGATAGTTTTGGGGATCTTTGAACACATTGTTTTCATCCTCATTTTTAAAGTGAGTGTGTGTCTTGTCTGTAAGTACCACCAACCCCATGCATGTGGACACACACACACACACACACACGCTGAAAGGGTGGCCTACTTTCCTGATTCATGTGCCTTCCTGCCTAGAACTTTTATCTGGCAACTTATAGGACCAGCATCTTCAACATGATACACTGGATTTTCATCTGCAGGGAAGTACTGGAAATCTTCTTTAGTGAACGGTTTCTCCAGTGGACTCACCAGCAAAGTGTGGAGGAACATATGCACAGGTCTTTGGGTGCAACAAAGCATATGGTAAAATACTACTGCATGTTAAGAAGTCACATTAAATGTTGTAAGCAGAGGCAGGGGCAGCAGTGACAGTATAAAGGGCTTCTGTATTTCACTGCTGCTGAAGGAGGGATGATGATCTTGGATAAATATTTATTCAAAGAGGAGACATCCAAAAATAACTGAGAAGTCTCCTTTAAACTCTTTTTACTGTTTACTTCCCTCAAGTCCTCATCTCTAACTTGCAGCAATGGAGGTAGTGTTCCTTGGTAATAAATCCACTATAAAGATTCCTATAGCCTGGATCAGAGGATTATGTTTCTTCTCACGTTGGAAGATGTAGCACCCGTGGAGGGATAACTCATTAAACTCTAAGTTCTGACCTAAACACCATCTCACCACTCTGGCAAGGATGCTGTATTTATACCTGTTCCCCCACTATAAGGTATCCATATTAACCATTGGATGGATAGGATTGAACAGAGCTCAGCAAAGTATGCATTGGGGCCAAATCTGGGCTGCCACTTGTTTTTGAGTTTTATTGGAACACAGCTGCACTCAACCATTTACATTTTATCCATGGCTGCTATTAATGACAGCTTTGAATAGTTGTGACACTGATCATAGAGCCTGAAAAGCCTAAAATGTTTACTATTTAGTCCTTTACAGTACAGGTTAGCTGACCCCCAGTATAGAATAATGCTCCTGGTAACAGCAATGCCAGTTTGGTGTCAGGTCAGCAAAAGTTCTGATAAAAACTGGACTTAGAGCTATACAGATACCAACATGAAATGTTGAAATGAATCCATGTGTGGCTAGTGACCAACTACCATCTTTGCCTTTGAAAATAAGCTTTGAGATCATGGTTATATCACAGAATTGTACAGTTCAGAAACTTCCTTCAGAATCTGCACCTCTTGATTATCTCTCTCTGAACTTCAAACTCATTATGTGTGTTCTCTTCACTCTGTTGCACATCTTCTTTCCTCTCAGTGAGCACTGGTTAGTCAGGTAGTTCCTCATGACTTTTAAAAATCTATTTAAATAGTATTTATTTATTTTTTTAATGTTTTTATTTAGATTCAAGTTACTTAACACAGTGTAATATTATTTTCAGGTGCACAATTTAGTGATTCAACACTTATCTACAACATCTGGTGCTCATTACAACAAATGCCCTTCTTAGTCCCCATCAAATATTTAATCAATCCCCCCCCCCATCTCCCCTCTGGTAACCATCATTTTGTTCTCTATAGCCAAGAGTCTGTTTCTTGGTTTGTCTCTCTTTCCTCTTGATCATTTCTTTTGTTTCTTAAACTCCACATATGAGTGAAATCATATGGTATTTTTCTTTCTCTGCTGACTTATTTCACTTAGCATAATAGTCTCTAGCTCCATCCACATCGTTACAAATGGCAAGATTTCATTCTTTTTTATGGCTGAGTAATATTCTATTATATATTCTATTCTTTCTATATACTCCATTATATTCATATGTGCATAAAAGAGCAGTGTGAAGAAGTGGGGGCAAGAATGACCCCCAGACTGGCCAAAGCCCACACACCACTTCATCCATATGCCCAATGCCTATGTCCCACCACTGTCACCACTATGCCCAAGAGAAAGGCTGAAGGGGATGTTAAAGGAGATAAAGCCAAGGTGAAGGATAAGCCACAGAGAAGATCTGCAAAGTTACTGCTAAACCTATTCCTCCAAATCCAGAGCCCAAACCTAAAAAGGCCCCTGTAAAGAAGGGAGAAAAGATTCCCAGAGGAAAAAGAGGAAAAGCTGATACTGGCAAATATGGGAGTAACCCTGCAGAAAATGGAGATGCCAAAACAGACTAGACACAGAAAGCTGAAGGTGCTGGAGATGCCAAATGAAGTGTGTGCATTTTTGATAACTGTGTACTTCTGGTAACTGTACAGCTTGACATCTGTTTTTTATCAAGTTTTATAAAAATGTAGCATATATATACACACATATATACATACTATATATATATGGCATCTTCTTTATCCATTCATGGTTGCAATAACTTCTTACTAGATATGTCTCCTGAGGCAAGGGAAACAAAGGTGAAAAATAAACTACTGGGATTTCGTCAAAATAAAGGCTTCTGCACAGCAAAGGAAACAGTCAACAAAACTGAAAGGCAACCTGCAGAATGAGAGAAGATATTTGAGAATGACATATCTGATAAAGGGTTAGTATCCAAAATATAGAAATAACTTATAAAACTCAACCCCCCAAATAATCTGATTTTAAAAATTGGACAGAGGACATAAACATTTTTCCAAAGAAGACATACACCTGACCAGCAGACACATGAAAAGGCTTTCAATATCTCCCATTATCAGGGAAATACAAATGAAAACTACAATGAGATATCACCTCACTCCTGTCAGAATGGCTAAAATCAGCAACACAAGAAACAACAGGTGTTGGTGAGGATGCGGAGTAAAGGGAAGCCTCCTAGACTCTTGGTGGGAGTGCACACTGGTGCCAGCCACTCTATAAAACAGTATGGAGGTTCCTCAAAAAGTTAAAAATAGAACTACCTTAGGATCCAGCAATTGCACGACTGGGTATTTACCCAAAGAATACAAAAAAATATATACTAATTCCAAGGGATACATGTATCCCTCATAATTTTTTTTGTGGGTGTTGTGTTTTTAAAATGTGGAATGTAGCTCTCAGGGCACCTGGATGGCTCAGTAGGTTGAGTGCCGAACTCCTGATTTTGGCTCAGGTCATGTTCTCAGGGTCATGGGATAGAGCCCCATGTCAGGTTCTGCACTTAGAGTGGAGCCTGCTTAAGATTTTCTCTCTCTCTCCTTCCGCCCCTCTCCCCAAATTGTGCTCTCTCTCTAAAAATAAATAAATAAATAAATAAATAAATAAATAAATAAATGTAACCTTTTTAGGAAATCCTTCATTTGGACCAAAAAGAAAAAAGAAAAAAAACTTTTGGGGCCTCAGGAACCTAGAATTACATTAATCACACCCCTTGGTTTACAACTTGTTCTCATCATTGCCCATGCATGGATGCTTTTATTTGCAAAACCTAACACCTTATCAATAAACTGCATCTGTCTTATTTTCCCACCAACCCACCTCCTGTCTCATCCAGTTCAAGGTAACCATCCACCTGAATCTTATGTTCATCATGAATATTTTGTTCATCATTCCTTTGCTTTCATTTTTATGTAGTTTTGTTTTTATGAATATTCCTAAAGACAGAGGGGGCAGAGAGACAGAGAGAGACAGAGAGACAGAGAGACAGAGAGAGCACAACCATGCATGCATATATCTGTTTGTTTCAAAATTTATAAAGTGTTTCAGGCTGTATATAATTTGAGGGGACTCAATTTTTTTCACTTATTGCTATGATTAATTCATTTTGTTGGATATTATATCATGGTAATTAATTTGTTTTTATTGCTGCATAAAACTCCATTGGGTGAATGTACCACAGTTAAATTGTCTACTTTCTCTTTGAAGGCATGAGGGTTTGTTGGTCTCTGCCCCCTGTTCCTGGCACAGAGCTCCCCAAACCCTTGTAATTTTCTAAGGTATAAGAGCACTAAGAATATCTTCTTCTAATATTTGTTTTTGACCCTATCCCTGACACAGGGCTCCTGTATATTCTATTGAAGCAACTCAAGGTGGGTTCCTGGGATGGCTCCTAGATGGCAGCTAGTCACCAGAAAGACCAAGCCATGATTAGAAGCTTGGAATTTTCAGCCTTACCTCCCTCCTCATCTTCCAGTGTGGGGTGAGAGGCTAGGAATAGACTTAATAATTGATCATGTCTATGTGAGGAACCCTCCACAAAATCCCAATAGTAGTGGGCCCAGAGAACATCCAGGTTGGAGAACACACCCTTATACCAGGAGGGTGACATACTACATCTCCACAGGGACAGAAGCACCTGCACTTAAGATCCTCCCAGACCTTGCCATATGTATATCCTCATCTGGCTATTCATCTGTGTTCTTTATCATATCATTTAATAAACTTGTAAATGTAAATAAGTGTTTTCCTTAGTTGTGTGAGCTGCTCTATAAAATTAATCAAACCTCAGGAAGGATCATATGAACCTCTGATGTGTAACCAAATTGAATAGAAGTTGTGGGTAACTTGGGGATCTACTAGTTGTGATTGGCATCTGCAGGTGGGGGCAGTCTTGTGGGAATGAAGCCTTAGTGGGGTCTGATGCTACTTCCAGGTAGATAGTGTTGGAATTGAGTAAAATTATAGAACACCCAGATGCCGTTGCAGAGAATTGCTTGATGTGGGGAAAACTCCGTATGCATTTGGTAACCAGAGTGTCAGAAGTCAAGTGTTATGTATGAGTGTGTTAGTGATGTCAAAGGAGACACATTGGAGAGGAACATAGAAAGAAAGAACAGGATTATTCCCTACTGAAAAGAGAGAACTGTAGGGTTTCCCAACACAAAACTCTTTATCTGGGTTTTGCTATTAAGAACAGCTCTTATTGTACAACTGCAAAATTTTATTTTGAAAATAGACTTACCCTGTGGAAGGATGCAACTGAAGGTATGTGAATGTTCAACTTAAGGAAGTAAATGCAAACTCTTCTAGTAGTTACTTTATACTGAACAGCAATGCATGGAAAATGTTATTGAAATATAGACTTGGTATTTTCAGACTTTTTTATTTTTCTCAAAAGGATGGGTATAAAATGATATCTCATGATTGTGATGTATAATTTACTGATTAATAGAGAAGATTGAACATTTTCTTAATATGTTTATTGGCTATATGTTTCTTCTGTGATATGCCTGCTTATTTCTCTGATCTATTTTTCTACTGGGCTGTTTGTACTCTTCTTATTAATGAGTAAAGGTTCTTTGTATATTCCTAATTCTAATATATTAGTTGTATGCATTGTAAATATTTTCTCCAACTTTTTTACTTGTCATTTCATTCTTTATGTTGGTTTTTGATGAACAAAAATTCTTACTTTTTAGTATAGTCAAATTTTTCAATTTTTATTTTATTTTTTAAATTTTTTTTAATGTTTATTTATTTCTGAGACAGAGAGAGACAAAGCATGAGTGGGGGAGGGACAGACAGAGAGGGAGACACAGAATCAGAAGCAGGCTCCAGGCTCTGAGCTGTCAGCACACAGCCCGATGCGGGGGTCGAACTCACAGACTGTGAGATCATGACCTGAGCTAAAGTCGGATGCTTTACTGACTGAGCCACGCAGGCACCCCAAATTTTTCAATTTTTAAAAATTTATTGCCAATGCCTGTTTGTGACAATAAAACTCTGTCCAAAAATATTTTTTTAAAACTAAATTTTTTCATGTCATGTTTTAAAATTTTGTTTTTGATAAGTAGATCTTTAATATATCTGAAGTTGATCTTTCTATATGATATGATATACTAATCCAATATTATCTTTTTCCATAAGGATATACTTTTCTCCAGGTCCATTTATTAGACAATTTCTCATTTCCCCCATTGATCTCTCATGTCATCACAGTCATACCAAAATTCCAAGCACATCTGGGCCTCTTTCTGGGCTCTAATTTTATTCCATTTGTCAGTTTATCTATTTCTGCAATGTTACTACACAGTGTTTATTATTATGTCTTTATAATAATTTTTAGAATCCGATAGACTAAGTCCACCCTCCCACAGACTTTCCTTTAGAAACACCCTATTTGTGACCTTTTACTTGACCATATAAAATTAGAATAATCTTATCAAGTGTCATGTTTGTGAATTGCATTGAATCTATAGATCAATTTGGTGAGAAATGCCATCTGTATGTATTTGGTTCTATCTATGAACATAGTATCTCTATCTGGAATTTAAAAAAGTATTTCTAAATAAAGTTTCATAATTTCCTTATAGATATAACAAATATCTTTTGTCAAATTTAATCATTTCATAAATAATTTTATAAGTTTAAGATCCTTTTCTTTCTATTCCTGAGTTACTTAGAATATTTACCACGATTTCCTGTTGGATTTTTTCAGTTATTAATCAAATGCTAATATGTTTTCCTCTCTTAATCTGTTGAATTGCATTGATGAATTTGTTTTGTTAGTTTTCTAAAAGAACCAATTTTGAGCTTTCTCCTTCGTTGAGAAGTAAGAGTTAATTTGTTCAAAACTAATTCTCTGTAAACTAGCCCCTGCAAAGCTCCACTGGAAATCAGCTCCTGTTTAGTCCTTGAGGCAATCATTCTTGATAGATTGTTAAGGTGAAGGCTCAGACCCCAGGTTCTGTAACTTTTGGATCTCAGCCCCTGAGGGCTGCTGCTTTCCCATTAATGAATGCCATAGTAAAGGATTAGGGTTAAAGACCAAGATTCTACCATGTTACAGTGCTATGACTTACACTCTTGGACTTCCGTCCAGAAGAAAGGTCCTATGACTTATTTAAGATGGATGCTTAGTTCACTGATTGTGATGCTTTCTTTTTTTCCTAATGTAAGTCCTTAAGGTAAATACTATTTTGGTGAATACTATTTTCTTACCATTCAGTTCTAGACCATTTTTAGTTTTCATTATTTTTTTTTAACTTATGACTTATTTGGTAGCATTTTTTTCAATTTCCAAATGTGGGGAGTTTGTATTTATGCTTTGTTGTTTCTAACGTCTAACTTGTTTTAGCTTGTTAATAGTATTGTTTAGGTGTTTAAAATAGTTCCAGCCTTTTCTATATTTGACTTATCAATAATCACAAGAGTGTACTGACATTCAGTACTGTTAAACTTAATTTGTATGTCAGGCCCCTCAAAATGGAGGTCACCCCAGTACCTGGCCCACGTCACAAATGTAAACCTAATTCAGCCTGCACTTACAAGAAGCACCTGTCAAAGAATCCTAACATACACCAAACACAGTCCTCCAACTTAGCTTTAGCTAGCTTACCTTACCCTAGAAAATAGGAGATGCTACCCTGACCTCCCAGCCAATCATGTCCTGTTTCAAAGTGGCCTCCTCTAAAGTTCTACAAAACTCCCTCTTGTCCCAAATCCTTTGGGAACATTGTTCCACTGCTTATGAGGCAGTGTAACCCCCCACCCCATGAATTGTTTTCCCTCGAATAAAAGACATCAAACTAGTCACAAAATTGTTTTAGTTTTATTTAGCAGTGCAATAGTGGATGTATCAATGTCTCTAATGTCTATCAATTTTGATTCATGTATTTTAAGGGTTAAAATTCTACATTTTCAAAATGTATTGCAATCTTTATCATTATGTGATGATTTATTTTATTCTTTATAATTTTTTTGCCTCAAAGTCTAATTTATCTGATATAAATAACTATACCAACGTTATCTTGGCTAACATTTGCCTGATGTAAATATTTTAAAAAATTTTTTTACTTTTGATCTTTGCATGTTCTTATATTTGGTGTTTCTTTTGTAAATACTATACATTTAGATTATTTGCCCTATTTATTAATCTGTATCTTTTAACTGGTGAGTTGAGTAATTATATTTCTTTTAATTAGTGATATACTTGGACTTGCTTCTACCGTGTTAATTCATAATTTCAGTTTGTCTCCCTTTTACTAAGTTTTGTATTAATTCATTTCAACTGAATCGGGGGAATGAAGGGCTCAATGAAGGAAAATTCTAAGGAAAACCCAAAACTGTTACATTACTGATGTGTTTTAAGTTATTGAGCTGGAATATTAACTGTTTGAACTTACTGATCTAGAATGTTAACTCCATGAGGGAAGTAAGTAGCACATAGTAGGTACTCAATATATTAATTTTCTATGTCCCTGTCGTATCTTCATTTTTTGGACAGTTTGGGAAGAAATTAGTGATAAGAACAATAAAAAGTAAGCAAGTAAAAAGGCAAGGCAACCATTGATTCCAGGAAAACAAAAAAGTTATACAAGACAAGAAAGATATTCATATTGTAATATCAGCTGTGAATAATATTTACACAGTCATAACTATACAAACATTGACAAACATTTAATCAAAATGATAATTGACTATATTGGGATGCTATCAAAAGGAGTATTTGTCTGTGTAGTTACATATACAATGGGTTAAAGAGAATTACATCTTCCATAGGAAGAAGCAGATAAAAAGCATAAATCCAGTTCTTAGTTGGAAGAAAAAAAAGAGGTGATAACCAGAAAAAAAAAATATTAAAAGTAATTTTCTTTAATGAGGGTGTGTTTGTGAATGGAGAAAAGTAACAAATACTATTATTTTTGCTGAAAGATTTGTAGTCCCTGACACTTTTCATGCATAATTTTGATACTTATAAAAATAATTTATTAAAAATGTAAACAAAATATAAAAAATAAAAACTATACAAATTGATATATATACTCAATGGCCAAAACTATGTGTAAAGATGAGAGATGGTGCATATCAAAGAGCAGTTAAATCATGCTAAATTTCCTGAGTTGTTTGGGAAAATATTGGAAGCATATACGCATTTGAGGACAGTACAATGTACATATGTATTGAAATGTGAGGATAATCAGTAAACATATAGAAATGGAATGTTGACCTTTGTTTCCAGCATTATGTCAGATAAGTGTACTGAGAGACTTTCTCACTACACAATATCATCTCCAGAACATCTCCAGCTTGTGGAAAGAAAACATACTTTTTTTTCAACATGTCATGGGTCTCCACAGAAGTAGGGGAGGTCTATAAGGATAGTAAAACTTTATGACCCTACTCCCACTCCCAACCTGCACCTGGGTTCTAAAACTGAAGGCCAGAGAAATACCAGTATTGGGATGGTATACCCTACTCCAAAAGCAACAGAGGGAAGCTAAATATGAGTCTCCTTCACTGAGCCAAAATTCTAGAGGAAGGTTCCAAGTCACCAGTGCCTCTGGGTTTCAACAGAAGAAAAAGTGAGTGAGAGTCAGAAGAAGTAACAAACAGAATTAGACTACTGAGAACTGCAAATATTGGAAATTTCAGGCACAGAATATAGAACAATTATGTATAAAGATTTAAAGAGGTAAGGGAGCTTCCACTTTTGCAAACAGAACATTTAACTATTGAT